TGAACTACTGAGGCTACCGTGCATTGCTGGGTTTGATCCCATTGAGTTCTAAGGGCTTCCTGCTACTGTACCATATGTCCTTTGCATAATGTATGGTCTGACTGAAGGCAGAGGGGTGAGAATCCTCACAGGCTGCTTACAGGACTGTGTCCCTGGCCATGGCAACAAAAAAACAAGAGCTTGCTTTGTCACCATTAATGTTGTCACGGGAAAACAGATCCACCATATACTTGCTTTTCATACAAAATCTTGTTTGCCCCATGACTCTTTTTCCTTTTTTTTCCCTCAATTCCCCCATAAGAAGCCCCCTGGGTGTTTCCATTTTCACAATGTGCAGTATGTTGCACTGGGGTGTCATGGGAATCTCCTGCCAGTCAGTCTTGTGTGAAATGGCTCAAAAAATGTGTCCAGGGGGAATCCTGATTAGTTCAGCCCTGGTTTGTGGCAGTGGTGTGGGGCTTGTGCCAGCAAAACTGGGCCCAAGAATTGGTGACAAACACGCAACTTGTGGATCTGTGAAGTGCTTTGAGGTCATTCTGTTCGAGTCAAATTCTAATCAGGGATGAAAATGTGTTTGAGAATGATGGGAGAAGGATGGAGTGTTCAAGCTTGGATTAAGTCTTGTAAGGCAGTCTGTGTATGTGGAGCAGCCCCGAGGTGAGATCAGGTCCTGCAGCCATCTGGCAGCTCAGGAAAGGGAGCAGGGATGTGGAGCTGAGGCCACTGACTGCAGACTCAAAAACCAAAGCACTTCTGCCAAGGGGAAAAGTGCAATCACACTTCTGCCTGCGTGTAAGATTTATCTGCACAATTAAATGGTTGTGTCTGTAGCTGGTAGAAAAACATGCCATTATATAATCCCAGTGGGAGGAACACTCTGCAATGTCTCTAAGTGCATTGTCTTACTGAGGGAAACTGCCTATCTAAAGCCAAGTCAACATATATGGTAAAAAGTAGTTTTTGCTCTCAGATCAGACATAGATATCCCCCTCTCAAGTTTTATTTCTCAGCCTATTTTTTTTAATCTCCCATCTCTTTCAGAGACCTGGCAAACAACAGTGAATTCCAGCATAAATGGAATATAAACAAAGTTCATATATGGTATAAGCATATGAGAACCACACTGGAATGGTATTCATTGAATTTTAGTTGAGTGATATAACAAGTAAAAGGCCATGTAACAGGGCAAAGGTATTTTAGAAACAGTGTTTCCTGTGAGAATGCTGAATTACTACATTTATTACATGCATCCACAGTTAGCCTTACAACCTGCCTCTATATTCACATTGCTTTCATTTTGCTCCTCTGAGGAGTCTGACAGATACAGAGGGCTGTTCACAAGGAATAATATGCAGCTGAGTTTTAGCTGCAATATGCATTGCATGAACTATGAACTAATATAGCACTGAACACATACTGTTCAGTAATAATTAGTAAAGGATGTTGAATGAGCAGAAAAGCTTCATACTCAGAAATGTTATTTGATTCCTTGTAATTTAAGTCACACCAGAGATTTAATTTCCTTAAATTACACCCTAATGTGTATGAACAGTCATATTTTCTCTTCTAAATGCAGAGATATATATAAAATGCAACTCTTTCAGTTAGATTGCAGTGATAATTTTCCCTTTAAGAGATGGTACTAGATGCTCAAAGAATTGCTTAACTTGTTAATTGAGCCAACATACACTCACCAAGAAACTCACCGTGCTGAGTGGATATCAGAAAGCACTTTGAATATAGGAACTTGTCACTTAAGAATGTGTTGGCTGTAACTTAGATCTCCATTAGGCTAGAGTGGGTTAGGGGGAAAAGAAAATTAAATTTTAGAATTCTGTAGTGGAAGTTCCGAGCTTACAACATCAATTTGCAATGCTGTGCCCCCAAGTCAGCAGCACAGGTTCCAGCAAATGACTTCTGTCATGGCTCTCCCAATAGACACCCTGCTGGAAGTGCTTCCTACACTTAATAAGTAAATGGGCTTTCCTGGGAGCAAAACAAAGAGCCTGAGTGTTTCCTCACAGCAAGCAGCAGTGGTGCAAGGTGATTTTTCAGTTTGGCTTGCTTGGAATGTAATAACAGCTTGGGATTGCACATTGTAAAGTATTTCTGCAAAGAGAAATGGGAGGATTCCTGGTCTGTGATCCCGTTGCTCTGCGAGCTGAGGAATGGATGCAGCCAGAAGCAGCTGCTGGTGCCAGGCAGAGCTGCCAGCTCCTGTTTCAGTGGTGCTGTGCAGGAGCCAAACAAGCCAAGTGCATTTCCTGCTGCATGCCTGCATGCACCAGGAGGCTTTGCAATGGCTCAAAATGGATGTTCCAGTGAGCTGCACAAGGAGTCTCCCACAATGGCACATTCTACCAGGCCTGCACTTTTCCTTGGAAGTTGTTAATAGAGCTGGATTCTGGGTGTAAGGAAGATGAGAAAGGAGTGCTGGAAAGCCTGGGAGGTGTTTGAATGCTGGGTGTCTTGCAGTGCCTCCCCTTGGCACAGAGGTGTCCCCGTGCAGCTGCCTGGCCTGGCTGGGCCCTGGGTGTGCATTGGCACTGCTGAGCCAGACACAGGGGCCTTAACTGGGCACAGCTCAGCTGCTGCCACCCTCCAAACTGGGCACTTCACCTTTAGGTAACTGAGAATTCCACTGAAGTGTAAGAGAGGGTAAATTTTATTAGTCTGTGCTTAAATGCACTCCTGCTGCATTTTATTTTTTAATAAGGTGAACTTTTTGCAATGTCAGTGAAACTCAGAAGTACCCAGAACATGGTAATGTCCAGGCTGGGTGTGTGGTCATGTTTCAGTTACAACTCAGGCACAGACACAAGAGTGTCTCTTCTCTGGTACTATCAACACATGTGGAAAGGTACCTGGAAAGAATATGAAAATACAGAAATGTTATTTCCAAGTGCAGAGTGACCCCTGGGAAGAGGGAGAGAGGAGGAGGACAGTGTTTCTTCTTGAAGATGTGCCTGATTCAACAAGGTACCAATACATAAATAACTCCTCTTGATTTCAGTGCAGACAGCAAAGGGCAGCCTCAGGTTGTGTCACCCCAGGCCTGTGATGTGTGCAGTTTCTTCAGTGACATAAAGTATTTCTACAACTAAAATTTCCATGGAAAATAGCTGCTTTAAAATAAACAGACTTAACTTCCTTAATATGTGCGAACTCAAAAGTTCACAGTTAACCATTGAAAAATGCAAAAGGCCAAGGAAAGGTGGAAATATCTCAGCTGGTAAAAAATACATCCCTAATTACTTCTCCCTGAAATTAGGGTGGCTGTGGCATATATAGGAACTCTGCAGAGCAACTAGAGTAAGTTCTGTTCAGTGACACCTGTCTTCATGTGATCCCTGAGGCAGTGTTTATCAGGAATATCATTTTCTTTAACAGCTTTTCTCCCCCATCATCCCCCAGTGGCTGATGTTGCTCCAGGAGGGAAATCCTGGTGGCTTTCAGAACAGCAGCAGCAGAGCTGGTGATAGGTTTGGAATAAGATGGACTTGAAGCTGGCTCATTCTTCCTGGGTTCTGTATCTGGCCTTTGTCAATATTCACTTCCTGCATTTATTTCATGGTAACACTATTGATTTACTGGCTAAATCATAAGTCAGAAGATCTCAGTTTTGCCTTAGAGCTTTCTCACTGGCTGGTAAGATTTTCAGATTATCTTCCATTTTCTGTCTCCATCAAATAGAAACTACTTGTCCAAAAACTGTCCCCCCTCCCCTAAACAGCCACTGAATTTGCAGTTAGATCATTTTCATATGTCATACATTATTTATAATTTTATCTCCTAGCCAATTTAGGGTAAAACTGTTTTTTTTCAACTTGAGTGATTGAATCTGAGTATTTACTAGGAACCACTCCCATAATTAAGTTAACTAAGAGCAACAGAAAAACGTACCTGGGTTTTTGTGATGGTGAATAACTCCAAATAACTCAGAGCTTCCCATGAGCAGAGTTCTGGAGAGGACTAAAAAGTGTCTGCTCATGTAAGAGTAGAGCATGCTCAGTGTTTTTGGAGAACCCTTAGCTCTGAATGCTGAGAAATTGGCATAGTGCAGTGTAGCAAACCCAAGTCTCTGTTCTAATTAAGACTTACTTGGATTTTTCAGTTTTTCCCATTCCCTGGCTGAAATTTCCTGTGTCTTGTAACCATTTAACAATATGTTACCAACCATCCATTATGTCCTGCTTTATTCTCTTTTAGATGAAAGAGCCATGTAAAAAAAAGGATTTGCCAGCCCCTGTGACTGAATTTGAGCGATAATGTCAATGGAATTAACACATTGCCATTGTTGAATGGGCTCCTGTGGCTATATAAACATCAAGGTAACACATTTCCAAAGCAGAAGACATTACTGCTGTGATACTGTTGTTTTGAGAATATTTCTTCACTGCCAAAACACTGATGTAGATTTAGCACTTTGCCTGCTATGATGAGAATGATGTTGGAGTTGGAAGGGTGGATGCTGCTGCTTTTATTTTTGTTGAATTCTGGTTTATTTGCTGAAGAAAATATCTTACGGTGTTTGGCTAAACATGGAATGAGAGCATAAGTACATTGAGGTATATGTAAGATGACCTCTGACTGGTAAATGCATTTAAATGACAGCTCTCTTCAGGGCCTAATTCCATTTCTGAAGGCAACCTTCTGGAAAAACTGGGGCAGAATGCTCTCAGGAAACCCAGAATCCTTTGGCTTGGGCAGAGTTTGCTCAAGAATAACTGTCTCCCACACTATCTCCATCCATTAACATAATTTTTATCTCTGCAAACAGGAGCAGACTGGGGCTTGAATGCCCTTGGTATATTGCTGAATGAGATACAGGCTTCAGTTTTAACTTTGGGGATGTTAAACAAGTTGTAAGGCCAAGCTTGTCAGAAAACCTTTTAATGGTGCTAATCCCACTGCAGATTTGCTGGCACTGTCTCACCTAATGCAAGACAGGACTAGCTAATGAGGATGTGGCACAGAAGTAGTTTAGAACTCCCTGGGTCACAAAATCTCTGAAGATGGCTGCACTGCAGGAAGGCAAAGCTGGTCATGCAGGTAACAATGATGATTTCCTTTATTCTGATCCTGGTGCAAATTGAACAAGAACTGTGTTTCTGCAGGAATATTTTCATTTGTCTTCAGGCAAGAAAAAATTCAGGCAGTAAGTGCTAAACCAGAACCTGACAAGTTCTGTTCCTAAATAACTCGTCATGCGAGTTTTACTTCTCTGCAAGGTTAAAACCATCTTTAAACAAAGAGTTGATGGGTTTGCTGTATTTCTGCTAATCAGAGACCATAACCCAGGTATTGAAGGGTGGGAAGTCAGTCTCAAGGTTGACCTTAGTGGACAAAGATGGGCATATTCCTCTCCAGGATCCATGGGAAATACCCACTGCCTCAATCAGAGCTGTATCTGTTCTGGTAAAAAGGACTTGAGTTTGCAGAGCTGAATCTGGCACTTCTGTGAACATTAGGGCTGAGACAGAAGAGAGGGAGTATTGTCCATTCCAGTTTGTTGCAAGAGCAGCCCTAGGTTGGATTCCTCAAAGGAAAGGACTTCTCAGCACAGGGAATGTTCTGTTTCTGGCCTGCTCTTGGTTATCAAGGGATAGAAAAGAAAGTTGTGATGGAAAAAGGGAGGAGCTGCCTGTGGCAGGAGTTTGTTAGCACACAGAGAATGACTTGGTGAACCATGAACACTGTGCAGGAGTTAAATGCACAGAGTGAGCATGGTTGTGTAACCTGAAGTTCTTTTCTGTCCCCTGAGGGCCCTTAGAAGTCCTCTGAAGGCCCAGAGAACAGCTCATAAACTTTATGCTTCAGAATTGCAGAGAAAATGCTTCTCTCATCCGTGAATCAATCTTTTGTCAGCTCTAACGCAATGGCTGGTGGCTTTAGTGTATCTCCACTGTCACCCAAAGCACTCTGTGGGAAATGTCACCTGTCCCCTCATTCTGACCTAAGCCCTGGAGTGCAAAAGGAGAGTGCTCTCCCAGGCAGTGCTGTTTCTGCTGCAGTCACACCTCCCCTGGGAGTTGATAGCTGGCCTGGTGTGAATTTTGGTGCAGAAACACAGTTCATGTGTAGTGCTGTGACCCACAGTGTGTCAGTGAGCCCGGGTCCATCCCACTGGGAAGCAGCCTGTTCACGTGCCAGCAGAACATCCATCCTTCCACATGGCCCCTGGATTCATTTGAGGAATCATAGGAATAAGAGAGGAGCAGATCCATCAGAGCCTTCTTTACTGCTCACATGAAAGCAGGATTGCTCTCTGCAATGCCACCGTGTGTGCAAAAAGCCATTAAAAGCCTGATACAGGAAGGACTTTGTTCCTCTGCAGACAGGCAGCCCTTGCACAGCCGCAGTGCTTTTCCCTGCATAGTCAAATTGCTCCTCTCTCATTTTCATCCCAGCTAATGAAGATAATTATATCCCTTTGTAGAATATTAATCCCTGTGTCATCTGTATGTTTACACCCTGCAGACATGTTCATTTCTTCTTTGAGAACAGGGCCATCAATCATGGAAGCTTTCCTTCACCAGCTCTTCTAATTTTTCTGGTGTTCACCTCATCCAGTCTCCCTCCAGCTCCCCAGTAGCTTTGATAATGAGGTGATAAGAGTTACATGTGGTTTTGCCAGTTTGTTGTACAGCAGACTCACAGAAAGAGGTCCTGACACTTTCCTGCTCAACTCTATGCTATATTCACATATGTGTCCTCTGGTTATGTTTGTGGTTTTATTTTCAGCAAGGAAATGAAATCACACCTAGGGCAGAAAATCCCAGAAATTACCTCTGTAATGGAACCTCCTTAATATTACCATATCTTTATTGGTAGGCATGGCTGAACATCACTGTTCAAAATAAAAGTTTAAGTGATATTCTCTTAAGGGAAAATCTGGAACTGGGGAGAAGAATTCCAGAATTCAGCAATTCTTCCTTTGGGCAGCTTCTTCAGAGTATGGTGCAAAGGGAAGAGGAGTAGTTCCATCTTGGAGAGGGAATACAAGGCAAAAAAAAAATCAGAAAGACATACTGGGGGGTGATGTATGGACTTAGATTTCAAATTTTTGCTTCAGGTTTCTAATAATCTAAACCAGCCCTCCCCAGCTGCTGCTGTAGCTCATCCACTCCTGCCCTGCAGAGCACCAAGCCCTCCAAATCTGGTGGATTCTCTCTGCACTGTCAGCAGTTATTTGGAAATGAAGGCCCTTGGTGGTGAGTCCAAATCTCCATCTCAGGCAGGCTCAGCTCACCAAGCCTGAACCCAGCAGCAGCTCAAAACTGAAACCAGTAACTGCAGTATTGGAGGGTGGCAGAAGCAGTCACCTCATTATTGATAACCATCTGATCTGTGCTCACAGGAATGCTTGCTCCCAAACCTGACTTTGATTTCCTCCTGCACACTCCCCAGCCCTTCTCTGAGCAGAATTTATAAATATTTCTGTTGAATTTACATTGCATTGTTTGGATCTATGTTTGGTTGGCAGGCGTAGGTCAGACTGTGAGGTGGCAGTCATTTAAAAACAGTTTTGCCTCACAAATGCAAAGTCTGTATTTTTAAGAGTGGCATCTATTAAGTGTATTGATGTTTGCAGGGTTAGAGAGGAGGAGAAATCTAAGTCATTTATGCCTAAGTAGATAAAATCCAGTATTTTTGGTAGAATGCACTCATTGCACAGCTCACACTCATTGCACACTTCTGTTATCCTCCTTCCAAGGAAAGCTAATCTATTTAACTGTTCTGACAGGACAAAGCCATGTGTTATCCCTTATTTTCTCAAGGAATTGCATCCCATATATTTAAATCATTCAGGTGTCTGATGTTCTTAACCACTTAGAAGCATTTGTTCCATATAGTAGGGCTAATTTTTAATTTATTTTTCTAAGCTCATCTATCCAAAATGATGCTAGGCTTTTATATTCACAGCAGGGAACATTGTGAGGTTTAAATATCCCTTTAATCACTAAGGATGTAATAAAAACAAGAGGAGTTCTTTGAGCTGCAGAGTGTTACCCAGGGAAAAATCTACTCTGGAGCTTACAAATGTGAGCTGAAGAGACAAACTGGGCAATAAAATCCACAACTACGGACCAAACCTGCTAAAAGTTGGTCTGTAGCTGCCCATCAGGAGCTGAGACTCGAGGGGGGAAAAGGCCATTCAGCACCTCTAGAGCCATAAGAGCCAGGCCATAAACACTTCACAATCTGCTGGGGAGGGGGAGGGAGCTGGGCTGTGATCTGCCCGCAGTCTGCACCCAGCCCCTGCCTCAACAAACAGTGGGCATGAGAAATTTCACCACGGCAAGAATGAAGGAAAGAAATCTGGAGAGGTGAGGGAGTGCAAGGAGAGGTGGCAGCTGTGTTTGGTTGTGTCAGTTCATGTCCACTTATGGCAGCCTCATCCCACTGCTGATTTGAGGAATCCGTGAAATCTAACAGGTGCTTTTTTTCTATTATCAGTGGTCTTGAAGGAATCTTACCTGAGCATTGTTATTATGGACCCAAATATCATTTTTCTGCGAGGTGATGAACAAGCTGGGTGAGAAAAAGTACAGCTCAGAGTTTATCCAAGGGCTTTCTCCTTAAAATCCATGTATATTTTCAGCTCTTTGTTACTGACTTCAGACTTGGCTGCAGATGATTTATGTCCCATCATAATGCTCTATATCAGTTTTCAGAAAGCATCTTGCAGGATGTGCTGCATGAATCTGTCTTGGTGTTCATTTTATTTTTGGGAGGTCCTGTAAAGCTCAGCTCAGACTCTACAGGTCAGACATCCTGTGGGTTCAGTTCCCTTGCTGCTGGGAGATGGATGTGCAGTTGTATGTATCCTGTGGCTATATAAATGTTTATAGTTCTTTTTCAAAGAAATTATAACTAATACTATAAAAGGAAAATAAACAAGCAGTAATAAAATATTATTAAAATGAAATGTGATTTATTTTAAGTGCCCTGAATCAAAATCTGCTGTGTATGGTTTAATTGTTCTCTTGTCATGATTTCTGGTAATGATAATTAACTTCCTCAGAAAGTTCTTTAGAGTCAATAGCGATGTTGGAGGAACTGAGCTCTACACAGATCTGTAAAGCTCACAGCAGTTTTTATTTTTAAAATCCAAATACTTTAAATCTTAACAATTTTAATTTGCTCTTTGAAGGTAGAACCTCTGATAAGGAATTATATATGTTTATTGATTTCCTGGTTTGATTAGAACCTTACTGTGATGAACAGTTAATGGAAACTTCCCTATGACAGAAGAGATCTGTGCCAAACAAAGTAACTTGCACCCTAACTTGCATGATGGAATTCTGGGTTTTTTTTCTGTTGGTTTAATGGTTATACAAATGCCTGATCACTAACAAAAGTAATCTTTTGTGGAAACCAAGGTACCATGACAATGTATCAGCAATATTGAAAATCCATGAAGTTTAGATAAAATCTTCTGGTCTGAGTTGCTGCTTTTTTTCTGGAAACATCAGCTTTTTAACAGAGATTGCTGCAGTGTTGCCTGCTGGGCTTCTGCTCAGCAGAGTCCATTCTGCTCAGGGCTTTTGTCTGGTCTCAGTTCATGGCTAAGTAAAGTGCCAGCAGTTTTTATGATCTGCATGATGCTTCTCTTTGCATATGAGTGTGTGCCCATGTGTACAAATACACAAGTGTTTATAGATGGCTGTTAAACCAGAGTTACTTGCTGCCTGTTTTCTCAGGCTGCTCCTTGTGGCTGAGAGCAATGAGTTCGGGCAGGGCTGTGAGTGCAGGTGTGGGAGGGAGGGTGCAGGGCTGGGAGTGCAGAACCTGTGTGCCGGCAGGGCTGTGGATGCAGGACTGGAAGGAAGGATGCAGGGCTGTGGATGCAGGGATGTGAATGCAGGGATGTCAATGCAGGGCTGGGAGGAAGCATGCAGGGGATGCAGGGCTGGGAAGAAGGGTGCAGGGCTGTGAAGAAGGATGCAGGGCTGTGGATGCAGGGATGTGAATGTAGGGCTGGGAGGAAGCATGCAGGGGATGCAGGGCTGGGAAGAAGGATGCAGGGCTGTGGATGCAGGGCTGTGGATGCAGGGATGTGAATGCAGGGCTGGGAAGAAGGATGCAGGGGATGCAGGGCTGGGAAGAAGGATGCAGGGCTGTGGATGCAGGGATGTGGATGCAGGGATGTGAATGCAGGGCTGGGAAGAAGGATGCAGGGCTGTGGATGCAGGGAGGGAGGAAGGAGGCAAGGCTGGGAGGGCAGAGCGTGCCCCTCGTGCTCGGTGCCCTTTGCTGAGCTGCCCGCGGAGCTCTCCTTGTGCTGCAGCTCCTTTGGGCGAGTTCTTTTTGTGGATTTGAGCCGGACAGAGCGCTGAGCTGTGTCTGGGAAACACAATAGGCTGACAGGAAAACAGCGCACCCAACATCAGGAGTCTGTGAGAACTTGAAAGGGCTCTAGACAGACATATTTTGCATTTGACTCTGGACTGCAGCCTTTGAGGCCAAACTCAGGCTGCAGTGTTAAGTGGCCGCTAAGTGTTTCCCTTCTTGTGCCGTGCTGAGGAAGCGCTGGGAGCGGGGCTGGGGATGTGAGGGAGGCAGCCAGGGGAGTGCCCCCTTCAGCTCTGCTCCTCTGGTACTCAATCCACAAACTGCAGAAGTCTTGTCTTAAGCTTATAATAACAACTTTTTGTCTGCCTGAGCTGCTTTCCCAGGTCCCCTTCCAGAGCAGGTCCTGTCACAGCTGCCCCGTGGCCTGTGACCGTCCCCACAGTGCTGGGAGCCTGAATTAGCATGGAGATGTTACCAACAGGCCCCCTCCAAACAGCTGCTTTGCTTTGCCAAATGTCATTTTTGCACTCTTGAGAGCACGGGAAGAATCTGGGGGTGATGCAATTTGGGGCTCAGTATGGGGTTTGCAGCCCTACAGAGCCTACAGCCTTCTGTGGGGTCCCTTGCACTGGTCCCAGGGTAGGAAGGTCTGCATGACACTTGTAATGTATCTGAAGACACCAGATAGCTTTTCTCAGGAAAAAATTAATCAAAACCATAAGAAGGAAGGGAAAAGGTGCCATTTCCCTCCACCAGAAGAAAATGCTGTGTTATGTGAGCTGCTGTAAGGAGCTGGGTAGGAACTGTTTCTTGTGCTGCAGCATGATAGGAGATATGTACCACTTCTTCAGAGGCTCTTAAAACACTCTGCAGGCTTTTACCATTCCTGTAGCCGCCCACAGAGACTTGCTCAGAAAGCTGCCCAAGTTCAGGCTGTGCCTGTGCTGCCAGAGCTCAGCAGCTCTGTCCTGGCCAGCCCTGCACTTGTATTTCCTATTTTCTGGGTGAGGTGTCAGGCACCAACAAGGACAAGGAGTTACATGCTGGCACAGCTGTAGGAGCAAGAGTTTAATCAGGCTTTTTCTCTGGAAAAACTCAGCTTTTCCCCATGGGCCCATGTGCATAAATCAGGCTGCATTTGCTTCACAGTGAGCTGAGCCTGGATTTAAGGAGCTAGTTTGTGGATTCTGGAGAATCTGAGACCACTTCATGTTTTTAATGAAGCATGTAAGTAAGTAGGTATCAGTGTAGAGCTATCTGTTTTATTTTGGGTTCTGTTTATGACATGCTGTCTTTTCACTTTCCAGTACTCATCCCATGCAGATGGCAGAGCATCCTGCACAAAGAGTTGCCAAGATGCTCTGGGACTGTGGCCTCTGTGTGCCAGGTGGGAATGGGCTAAATGAGTCCCATCTAAATGGCAGAAAGGCTTTCCTCACATTTCAGAGGGGAGGATCTCTTAGATGCAGTTTGTCCTTCCCTGCTTGTGCAGGTCCAGGCAGACAAGGCAGCTTCAGCCCAGTTTGTTAAAGCTGACATGGTAAACACTTTCTCACAGAGGGGAAACCTGGGGGGTGGGTGCTGCCTGCTGCACCCACGAGCAACAATCCAAGGCAGGTTCTTTTGAAAGGTGACTTTTACACTTCAGCTGCTTCCCAGGCAGTAACTTTGTGCCCCACACTGGAGCTTGCTCTCCAGGCAGAATGCTCCCCTGGGAGCTCTGCCTGGGCAGAGGTGGCAGTGCCACTCCAGCCCCATTAGCCAAAGCCTGACACCTTTTCTGTTCTCCAGCAGCCTGGGAGCCCCGGGCAGCAGCCAGCCATGGCAAGATATCACTGTGCTGGAGAGCTTGTGTACAAGCCAGCTCCCTGCAGGGTCCTGCTGAGCAGTAAGGGTTAAACCTTCACTTAAGGTGGGAGAAATGCCAGAAAACATTTGCCTTACTACAAGACCCCGAGGGGAATGTTTCTTTCTAATCAGCTTCTCAAAGACATGCAAAGCAAAAGCTCTTGGCCTGTGCTTTTGTCATCACACCTGCCCTCCCTCCTGCCCTACCTCATCCCTTCAGCACAGGGCAGAGCCTGCTGTTAGAGCTGGGCTCTGCAGGATTGATCCCTGCTGCTGAGATGGGCTCAGAGCAGAGCTCTGTGTGTCACTGACTTACACGTGTCAGATCCACTCTCTCTCCCGGCCCTTTCCATACCCTCAGCCTCCAATTTGCCAGTGAATTGTTAGACACCAGCACATTCACCTCTGACTTCCCATCAAACTGCCTGAGGGCTCTCCATGGATGGACAGATGAGGGTAATGTGCTAAATTCCCCCTTTGCTAGGGATGAATTTCCTGGGGATTGCTCCTATTAGCCACGCTTTCCAGCAATAGTAACAAATTCACTTTTTTTTTCACTTTAAAAACATTTCCAGTGCAACTAGAATGGCTGGGAGAAAGCTGATTGTTAACTAGTCATGGGTAATTAATGGCTCCACCTTCCCCATCAATCAGCTGGGAGAAGCCAAAAGGATTTGAGTACTTGCAGCAAATGTGCTGTTCCCCAGACATGCTGATACGCAGTGTGCAAATGAAGTGGCAGCAGGAGACCATCTCATAGCCTTTGTGAAGCAGCAGTAAGTCATGATACACATCCCACGCTCCTGTCAGGTGAAGTCTGAAATTCCCAGAGCTGCTGCTGCTGTTGTGCGGTTCCTGACTGTGTGGGATGTTGATTCATCTCGCTGCTAGCTTGAATCTGACCCAATTTTTGTTCTATTTTTCCTTTTCAGATTCTGATTATGGTTGTCTTTTTCCGCTTTCTACAATTAAAATACTAGCATTAGAAAAGCAGGACATGGAAGGGGGAGCAGATGAGATGCTGGCTTTCCTTCTGTAGCAGAGCAAAAAAAGCATTTCTGCATCCTATTTTGTTTGTGTCTGGTAGTGGCTGTGCAAGCACAAGCAGAGATCTGACCTTGATACCCTTTCAGCTGACCTTTTCCCTTCTGATTTATTTCTTCCCTTATTTAATAAATAATTTCCATTTGAGCTACAAGTTGACATTTCTCCACCATATGGTTTTCCTCTCCTCAGTATACTGAGACTCCACAGCTCTGGATGTCTCCAAGTCACCTGAGGGAGAAAAGCCTGTAGTCTTCTGTGTGTCCAATGGCTTAAAAGGGATGCCAGCAAGGCTGGGTGTTGTTCTGCAGAGGTGCCAGAAGCCAGTGGACTATCCCTTGCTATAAAATCCTCCTCGGGACTTCCCAAATTCTCCAAGCCTTTTCTTTAAAACATTCTTCCTTGCCACACTAAGCATTGGCTTTTTTTCTCCCTGGCTAGCACTGGGATGCCTAAAATTCAATATACCACTGGAAGAGAGTCAGTCCCTGCTCTGATTAAATTCCTTTGTCCTCTCTGCATGTCCTTGCATTTCCTGCTCCAAAAGGCAGTAAAAACAGAACTACAGGATTGTTGTTTGGGTGTAGAAACTCACTAAATAAATTCTAAATTTTGTTTGTACATTAGACTGAAGATCAGATGTCCCAGTAACATAATTGACAAAATAGAACAAAAATTTATTTTATTTTTAATAAATCTAGACAATGAAAGAGATGTAGCCTTATAGCAAGTTCTTTGTAATGAACAGAGCTCCTAAATTTGTGCCCCACACTGGATGTCACTTTATCCTGCTTTTGACCTCCATTTTTTGACCATCTTGGTCCTGTAAATGTTAGCACAGCCATTTGTGTGAGTGACTGCACAGAACCCCCTTCCTCAGGAGGTGCAGTGGCTGTGCTGGGCCCTGGAGCCTGAGCCTTGATTGCTGCCTCTTAGCACTTGTAAGCACTTATAAGCACAAAAGCTAATGGTCACACTTGCAGAATAAACTAATTAAGGGAAAATGCTCAAGCCCTTCGATTTCTGCTCAGCCTTCCCTGGGTAAGAGCAGTGCCTTGAGCAAAGCATAACCTCCCGGAAAAGAAGTGCAGTTAAAGGCTGGGAGTGCAGAAATTGGGCAGATGAGTGACGTTCTACCATCAAATGTGTTCATTGTTATTCACATTCGTGTTGTTGGAGAAGGCCTCTGTGGCTGAAGGGATGTGTTGCTGCAGCATTCCAGTGGGGAGAGCAAACTTTGCACAGGCTGTTAATCACCCATTTGGGAAGGAAGAGCTGGATGCATTCCTGATTCTGGTACCAGGAATCAAGAGTAAAATGATTCTGTGTGCTGAAGATGAGAATTATCACACACCCATGGAACAGCCAAAAAGAAATTATCCCTGCTTGCCCGTTTAAGGGATTTGTTTTTATTTTGTAGCTAAGTCCTCAACTGATGTTTTCAGTCTTGTCTCTATTTGTTTAAAAGTGCGTTAGCAGTAAATCAAGGTGCATTTCCCCTGTAGGGTTTCCTGTATGTCAAAGCCATGTTAATTCTCTTTGATTTTCTTCCCCTAGCCCCAGCCATTGCTGCAGATCCTTCCTCTCTTTGTCCCTTTGGACATCAAAGGCTCGCAAGGGGACAACCCTGGCGGGAGGCTCCTCCCTGCTCATTAGGCTCCATAAAACAGGAACTCACCTTGGCTAGCTGTGCTTGGAGTGCCATCCTCATCCCGCTCACTCTTGACACTGGATCTCGGAAGGAAGGGCTTGTGCTTGCTTCAGGAAATCAGACCTGCTTTTGAACTGGACTATTTTGGCTCCCCTTGTAAGAACTCTGGTGGCTCTCTTGGCCCTGCAAGCTCCTCGACGTCACGGTACATGGAAAAATGCAAGCTTTACCAGGTAAGTGAAGGACTCCTTCCCCTTTCTCACTGCACGGAAAGATCCCAGACTCATGCCAGAAAGGGAGCAAGTGCTCCTAAGGGCTTACCCGCACTTATAGAGGAGTGCATTGGGCTAGAGAGGATTTTTTTCATGGGAGTATGAAAAATTGTGCATTTGAGTGGGGTTTTTTTGAGAGCCTTAGAAGATTTTTTTGTAAAGGTTTGCTCACAATTGTACCCAAAATTCCCTTACCCAGACTGCCTTGTGCAGTGTCACCCTTCAGCTGAAGGCTGGAGGTATTTTTGTGTATTGTCTGCCAAGCACTGGGTTCTTCAGGTTGAAGGCCACAGAAAGCTTGGAAATACTTGTCATATTTTTAATAACAGTTCTGATACAAACTCTCTGGTTTGAGGTTTTTTTCCCAATTTCCTATGTCCCTTGAAAACATGAACCCAAATCAGGCATAGCTTCCAGGTTCACACCCAGCATAGGATTTTTGTGATTTCCTTAGGGTTTCATTATGTTTTCCTTCAATCCATCTCATATTATGCTGTTAATCTCTCCTGTGTGGAGCATTGTTGGATTGGGCACAAGGACAGAGATGCCTTGGGACACTAAGGGTCAGCCCAGAGGTGATGTATTTGTCAGTGCAACTGAATTTACTCTGGGATTTTACTTTACATCAGAAAAAAAACCTGGCCCAGTTTATAGGCCCATCAGAAGTGACTGTGCAGTCTCAGCTTCCTTATTCTTCCTCTGCAAATGTCTCATTCATGAGCAAAATACATGTGCAGCATGTGCAGTGATTTAGATGATTCCCACCTTTGCTGCTGTTTTGGGTTTTTTCAGTCCCTGCTGTGTTGATCAGATTCATACTGGTTTCTGCCACTTGAATTTTAAGATGAAAAACAAAAGAGCAGCAATGGAAAAAAAGTAGACTGTATTATTTTTTCATGTTAAAAGATTCCAAATATTGCAGTGTTCAGCTCATTTTCTTACTGGGTTGCTTCTGGTGTATGACCCACTACAGCAGAAATGTTCCAGGTGATGACTGGATGCATCTGAGAGATGAAGCTGTTGCATTTGTGGAAACATCATACTTTTGTTATTGCCAAAAAATTCTCTGGGGCTGAGAAATGAGGCTCCCTCCAGAGGGTCAGGGTGATTGTGCTGACATTGAGAAGATCAGAGAACATAGGAGTGGTTTTTTGCTTGTTTGCAAGATGAATTTATTAGAAAGCTTTGTATATTGATGTGTGTTCCTCCCTGGTGGACACTGGATAGCTGTGGGTGTTTGACTTCACTTGGAAGATAACAGCAACAAATGTAATAATAACTGATTTTAGACAAGGTAAACATAGCTTTTTCCCTTATTGGAGCTTTCCCAATATTTCAAATCCTATCCTACACATTTTGGGAAGGCTGCAACAAATTTTCTGACATTTTACCATTGTCTCAGTAACGAAAAATTAATTGAGGAACTGCTTTAGGTGAGGCAATTGTACTCCTGTATCTTCTATCCAGAGATCGTCTTCCTAAAACTGCTAAATTGTCTCACATTTCCCCTTTCTTCCTTTCTGTCCCCAAGATGACAAAAAGATATGTATGGCTCATTCTAGATACAGAAACTGTAGCACAAGCTACTCCTATTGGTATAAGGACCTCCAAATCAAGCACAGAATAGATTGAAAATGTCTTAATTTTCAGTGCTTTACCATAGCAGCTTCCTCCCTTTCAACCTCATCTGGACACAAAGAACATGTTTTTGAATGGACAACATGTGATGTTACCAACACAATGATAATAGGGATATTTTTTAAAAAGCAAAACTAGAACCGCTGGAAAAGGTTTAAATCTCTTCCAGATAACAATGGTTTTAAAACCAAGTTGCAAAGAAGAGGGAACCGTAGAAGGACAGCTCACACAAGTTGCACTCAGTGCTTGGACACTGCCCAAACCTCTCTGTGCCATAGTTCCAGCACTCAGGCATCTTTGTGGGAGGGTGAGTGCATGAGCCTTGCCATCAGTTACACAGGCACAAACTAGGAGGGAAACAAAAATCCAAACAAAATTTACAAACAAAATCCGAAATGGATCCTACAAACAGATCCATCACTGAGGGTCCTGCTGAAGCTGCAGCAGCTGAGTGGACCCATTCACCAGCTCAGCATTCACCATTGCTGGGCTCCAGGTCCTCATGCAGATCACATCCTGCTTTTCAGCCTCAGCCTGTGCACACAAACCTGCATGGTGAAAGGCATTAACTGCATTTTAAAACCTTAGCTGCAACATTTATTGTCCCTGTCTCCTGCAGCATTGTGCTCCTACAGGTGTGCTGTGGACTCATTGTGGTAAAAACCAGATTATAACATCTGCCTTTGATTTTTAATTCAGTGTTGAACTCATTTCACTTCAGTTCCTCTCAACTTCATTGGAAACCTCCCCTCACTAAAGACTCCTGAGATCTGCCTTGTTGTAGTCTCTTTTAATGGCATTGGAATTTGCTTAAAGAAATGTTAATTCCAAAATTCATCTGGGGAAGGAGTGAGCATCTGTCTAGCTAATCAAAACCTGTTTGCTTTTATTTGTGACTGGATGGCTCCTGTGGGAAATCAGCCCAATTTTATTGTAACTCCGTTTGATACATGTGCTGCACTGAGCTACCAAATGCATCGTCTCATGGCAGCTTTCATGTCTTTGCAAGAGGATATGGGGGAAGCTTTCGTAAGAAGATGTTAACAGGCTAATCTTGGTGAGCAAACTAGGTGTCACTTCTTGGCCAGTTCATTAATGTTGGATCAAAGCAGAAAAAAGGGTAGAGGATTTTTTTTAAATGCCTAAAGACCTCTACAAATAGACAAAATTACGTTTTAATGTTTTCTACTTCTTAAACCTGAGGGAAGAACCATTTATAGTTGTATTGGGTTGTTTTGGTGGAAAGATGTCCCTTTCTGAAAAAAGCTAATTTCTCTGAAAACAGTTGCCTACTTTTTGTGAATACTCCTTTGAAGGCATTACTCAGGAAAGCTGTAAAAAGGTGAAAATTCCCTTTTTTTCTGCTATGCTCTAAATAAGATCTGATCAGGCTGAGAGGCAGAAAAGTCTACCTTTTAAACAAATAGCTGTGCCTAGCTGCTAATGCACCACCCAGAGGGGTCCTGCTGGCCCTGAGCTGGGACAGCCCAGCTCCTGTGGGTGTCCTGCTGAGCAAGCTCCTCACCCCTCCTCAGGGCAGTGTTCCTAAAGCCCTCCTGGCTCTGAGCTCAGCCCACCAGACCTGTACTGGGTCACATTCTGACCTAAAATGGAACTGGGCTTTTCAGTGGGGCAGCAGCAATCTTGCCTGCCTTACAATATTGCTGAGAGCACCTACTGGGGGGTTTAAGGAGGTTTTTAATACAAATAGCTGTGCAGAGGTGATTGGTACCATCGACACCGAAGGCAGTTCCTCCAGAGTGGTTTCCCTCTCCTCTTCCCCAGGCCCACAGTTGGTCCTGTGCCTCCAAGAGGAAGAGCAGGCAGATTGCAGCACTCCATGGTGTGTTACTGGAGACACCTTCCACCCCCTCACAAGCTCCTCAGTGATCCCATCCTCAGTTCAGACCAGCCATTCTCTTTTCAGAATACAGTCTGTCCACAGTCTATCTCTGTCACCTCCTTTTCTTGCCTTCACTTACATTTAGAGCTCCTGTCTGTCTCATCTTTGTCTTTTGGGGGCATTTTTCACCTCTGCTACCCCCTACTTGTCATTTTCCCCTATTACCCACTGGTGCACTTAAAGTCTTTCCAGTCCTTTCAGCTTTCATTGTATTCTCTTGATAAATTGTTTTGTGTAACCCTGATCATACCAGAACGGTGGATGGTGGCTACCTGCCAGCATGGGTTTTGTAACAGTGGAATTTAGGCTGAGTTGGTACAACACACAGATCCTTACAAAAGGACCTACCAACTAAAACCAAATCTGTTGGAAAAGGCTCCCTACCTCTGAGCCTATTAAGCAACAAAAATCCTTTGAAGAAAAGCAACAGTTTTTAGGAGGTTTGTTGTGGCACAGACTGCCCAGGCCAGGGCCAGTTCCCCTCCTGTCTGTCTGCAGTCACTGTCTCATTTCTCCCTCCAGACGTGAAAGCGCCGTGTGAGGCCCTTCCTTCCCCCAGCCTGGAGCCCTTCCCACAGAGCTCCATCGTGGTCACCCTCGAGGACATGGGGCTCTGGATGAAGTTTCACCAGATAGGAACCGAGATGATCATCACCAAATCTGGCAGGTAAGGGGCATAGGACAGCTGACCACACACACCACACCCCTCTGAGCTGTTGGAAAAGTCTCTAGGTGCTCATTTTTCCAATAGTGGCCCTTAAGCTGGTTTTGTAGCTGGTTATGCAGATCTTCCTGATCCTGGCAGAAGAATTGCACTTTCAGGGTGTCATAGAAGTCCAAACTGTGAAGTGCAGAAGGTCAATTATGAGGGTGATGTGCTCAGAAAACTCCTGTACCCTTATCTCACCACTTAACACTGGTGTTCTTCCTGTCACTTTGAGGTTGCTCTGGGAAGTGCCCTGGGCTCTCTTTGCCTGGGTCACAGGCAGCAGCAGTTGAGCAGTAAATGTTTGGGTTTGAATCTGTGTTTGCAGACAAGAATATGGCCCAGACTCTTAAAGATCTGTGTGTGCAGACTCCACTGAAGTACAAATGAGTCATGTATTGTGGAGCTTGCAGTGAAAGAAGATGGAATTGTGAAGCTGTAAAGTATTGTGTCAAAGCTGCTGTGAGCTGGAATAATCCCTTTGGGTAGGGAGGTAGCTGTCAAAGCTTTTTTGCAGAGTCAGAAGTTAAAAGCAGTGGCAGGGAGTATGGGAACAGAAAGCTGGGTGTACTCTTAGATGAGAGCACATCTTCTGCCCACGCTCAGATTTAATCCATCTTCCAGGGCTGTGAGAGCTGCAGCAGGCCAGGAACTACGTACAGCCTCCAAATAGTTCCTTTCAAGTTTCCCACTGGTGTGTTAGAGGAATTGGAAGAACAAAAGCAGTAACACTGTCCGGCCCTCAGTGACTGCTGCCCTGTTAGTGTCTATCCCATCTAAGCCCACAGGACTAAACAGTCCATCAATGAGATGGACAAATGGTCAGTGGCTGGTTGGAGAAATACTGCTCACAGGGCTCTGCACAGTAGTGAGTAAATGTGACATGCTGCTGGATCATTAACAGCCACTTTACAGAGAAACCATTATACTCTATTTTTCATTTCTCCTTCAGACGAATGTTTCCTCAATGCAAAATCAAAGTCTCTGGCTTAATCCCGTATGCCAAGTACCTCATGCTGGTAGATTTTGTGCCAATGGATAACTTCAGGTACAAGGTAAGTACTTTAAATAACAGAATTTAGGCTGTCCTTTCATCTTGGTTTGAAATAGATTAATCTTTATGCTTCACTTGTCACATTGATAAATAAATTCTCTTTGGACAAAGTTCAGAAGTAATTGATGGATTTTGTGTCTCTCTGGAGTTATTTGTCAGTTTTGCTTGGGGAGCAGCTGGAAAGGTAACTAATTTTCATTGTAAGCAGTACAGTTTTAATCATGATTAATGTCAGACTTTTCTGGCAGCCACTGGGAGAAAGGCAGGAAAAATGAGGCCTAAACACGGAGCTGATTTGGTAACATGATCATGGCTCATAAGAGAGAATCTGCTTCTTGTGCTTCAGAGGATTTCAGTGAATTGGCAGTGAAGCAGACTTGCTGGGCCTTTTCTGTACTGAAAGCATTTTTTTAAGCTCCAGATTTCTGTCTTTCCCTTCACAGTGGAATAAAGATCAGTGGGAAGTTGCTGGAAAAGCAGAGCCCCAGCTCCCTTGTCGCACCTATGTCCACCCAGATTCCCCAGCTCCTGGCAGCCACTGGATGAAAGAACCTGTCTCCTTCCAAAAACTGAAGCTCACTAACAACACTCTGGATCAACATGGGCATGTAGGTTGTGCTGTGCTCTCTTGGAATTCATTGCAGATGAACTTTGTGGGAAATAAGCAGGATTTGTAAGAAATGAGATGATGTAGAAGTTAAAACATTCCCAAGTGCCCTTTCTTCCTCCCTCAGCTCAGCCCTTGTGCCCCCTTAGCTCCCTGCCAGGGAAGGCACAGCTCTGTGCTGTCACTGCAGGGGTTTGCTGGAGACACCAATCCCAGCAGGAGTCCCTGCTTAGAAATGGGTGTCCTGGGGGTCTGCACAGGGGATCTGCAGCGTGTGGCAGTGGTGGCACATGGAAACCTTGTCCTTTGTCTGTCCCAGATCATCCTGCACTCCATGCACCGTTACAAGCCGCGCTTCCACATCGTGCAGGCCGATGACCTCTTCAGTGTCCGCTGGAGCATCTTCCAGGTGTTCAGCTTCCCTGAGACTGTCTTCACCTCTGTCACTGCCTACCAGAACGAGCAGGTACGGTGTGCAGGCTCTGCTTCTGGACACACTGTGAAATGCTGTCTGTAAAATTCCTGTAAAGGAAGGTGTCTCCTCCCTGTCTGCTCATCCTGGGCACCTGTGGTGGACAGTGGGAAGAAATAGGCACGTTGTGGTTCCTGTGGAAAACATCTCCTCTGTGATGAGTCATGCACCTTGATAGTGCTGCGTGCACTGTCAGTGACACAGAACTCCAAATGCAGTAAAAATTATGGCTGCAGGTCCAGATATTCACCCTGTCTCTTTCTCTAGTCAGATGAATCCCACCCAAATCCCCACTGACCCTGGCAGGGTCACTTCTCTCTGTGGGTCAGTTCTTGATCCATGATGGGAGCTACTGGGAGAGCTGAGACACTGTGGCAAGGCCACATTCAAATCCCTGACACAACTGATTTCTTGTGATAAATACCTTGTGATAAAGGTGAAGGTCTTGGAACAGTTACTGTGATGCTGTCTTGTTCCTTTCATTTAAAGATTACAAAGCTCAAGATTGACAACAATCCATTTGCTAAAGGTTTCCGTGAACATGGGAAGAACACTCGAAGGTAAACTGTTTTTTTTTCATTTTAATTTGTTTCTAGCTGGAGTTCACTTGTGAATTTTACCCAAGGCTTTGAACAAAACTCTACCAGCCAGCTCTGCTGAGCCTGCTACATTGTGCACACTGCATTTCCCTGTATCTGGGAGTGATGTCCCTCTGTGCAGCCTCTTCTCAAGAGACTTGGGGAGTGGGAGGTGACAATTCCTACAGAAATGTGGGAGGTGTGACAAATTTGAGACCTGCACTCTCTTGCACACTGGAGCTAGACTGGAGTCTGACATGTGAATAGCAGTGATAACAGGAGTCCACAGCAGACCATTTGGTCTCTTGGAGATCAGCTTGATTCTGACATTTGGAGGCTCCCTTGTCTCCTTTTCCTGTGGGTGGAAAAGTGTCTCTTCCAGGGGGAGATTTTGTCTGCAAGAGGAAAGATGGATCCAATACCAGTGAGATCTCCTGCTTGGTCTGAGGGCAGCCAGTGGATGAGTTGAAAAAAAAGCTTAAATTGCAACCCCAGACTGGCAATAGAGAAGGAAAAAATGGAGGTTTTTTCCAAGCAGAAAATGTTACGAAAATATCTGAGATTTTGTTTTGTGTTATTTTATGCCTGAAAAAAATCTTCTCCAGAAAAAAATTCCTGATGAAAAAAAGCCAAAACTGACTCTTTTTTACTTAGAAAATCCATAACATTTTTCAACTTTTTCTCCTCCTAATAGCATCCCTGCCTGTATATCTAGGCAAAAAGCTTACATCCAAGCTACCCCCACATCTTGTTTCTTTCCAGGGAAGGACGAGCCAAATGCCAGAAGCCCAGTCCAGCCAAGAGCCAGAAGAGGAAGCTGCCTGAGGAAAAGGAGCCTGCTGCTGAGGAACGTGGTAATATTGATCACAACAAACCCAGAGAATGATATTCAGAAAGTTTTTAAAGCTAACTCATTCCTTGCTCCAGCTCATGGTGCTGCTTGCAGTAGCACAGCTAAGGAGAGAGGGCAGGCAGGACTGACCACCACAGTATCTGGGCAGAAAGGAGCTGGAAGGGGCCTTTCCCTTCCAGGGATAAAGGACTCCAGATAAGGAGGACTGCAGGAGGTGGTAGTGTTTCCTTCCACCATCCTGTGATTACTGCAACTGCCAGCAGACCACTGCGAGCTTTGTTTTCCTCTTCCCCTTTCTCATTCTTTCCTATTCTTTCCTTTCCCTGCTTTGAGTCAGATTTTGAGAAGGATGAGAATGTAGACGTGAAGGAAGAGAGTAACCCTGTGGTGGTGAGCAGTGGATATCCCTTCTGGGGCTCGGAGCAGAACAGCAGCCAGGCCTTCCCTGCGGCCTCACCAGTGCCTGCTGACCAGAGGGAGGCTCTGGCCAGAGAGCAGCAGGTGCCAACGCCGTCCTACCACACCTACCGGTGAGTCCTGCCTGCTGCTCCAAAGCCACACTTCAGTTGTTGGGATTCCTCTTTTTCTGCTGGGTATTTCCTAAGAAAAACAGCCAGTTGGGAATAGGAGGAGGATGCCTTTCTGTTGGAGAGTACATGTGGTTGAGAGATGGTAGATTAGCATGGACATAGGTCTAAGGATAGCTTTTCTCTTCTAGTTCAAACTCACTGGTTCTGGGCATGCTCATGTCTTTGTAATTTATTTCCCTGTCCCAGAATGCTCCCCCATCCAGCTCTGTGTACTACAGAGATTGCCTGTCCTTTGGAGGAAGTGTTGGAGGAGTTACAAGACTCCAGTAATTTTTCCTTCCTCATTGCAAAATCGGGTGTGAGTGAGTCCAGACTAGAACTTAGCCTGAACTAAGGTAGTCTGGACTCACCTTCTCTGGCATTTTGTTTTTCTATGAGTGTGACAGTGAGGCTTGGGCTAAAATCCACAGTAACAGTAAGATGAAGCAGTAGACAAAGGGAAGAACTTGCCCTGCTTTTCCCCAGGGGATGTTTGTGGGTTTTCCATGGTTTTCCACTCTGGTTAGTCTAATTTGTTTTTCTCTCTGCCCTTGGGCCCAGGTTCCACGAAGCTGGGGACAGCCAGCAGCTTCCTAGCCGCGATGCCGCGACCTTGAACGATTTCCGGGCAAGGTGCCATGCCTTGGATCTCGCCATGGTGCCCGAGCACGACTCCAAACAGCTCCCAGAGGGCTTCACCAACCTGCCCCCACTGCCCCCTCCTCTGCCTCCTCCCCAGGACTACACAGGAGTGGTGAACATGGCTCTGGACTCTGTGGGGAAAGCCGGGGCCCGGGCGCCCATGTACAGTCCCTATGGCACCGAGCAGGGCCTGGGGCAGTGGGTGGTGCCTTCCCACAGCCAGTACAGGGCAATGAGCTACTCAGCCTTCTCCACGGAGTACAACACACAAGGAACTCCAGGACATGCCCATGGCACCATGGCAGAGTGGAGCCAGTATCCTCTGTTCCCCTACGCTTGCTGGTGAATGGGGAGGACCCTTCCGAGTGAAAAAAACTGAAAGAAAATTGTAAATGAGATTGAATTTACCGTTGGACTTGTGAAGCTTTGCCTACAGTAGGCAGAGGTATTGCTGCAAGCAGTAGCATGGGACACCTCCACTTCCTTGTCTCCTTGCACAACAACCTCACCATATTTCACAAGCAGTGGTTAAACTGGTGGCTGCCCCAGCCATGCCATTGTGGATCAGACTCAGTGTTGTTCTGCAGTGGTTTTTTTCCCAGCAGGAGTAGGAAACCACAGGTCTGCAAGAACAGTATTTAAGGAACTGCTGAACTCGCGGTCAGTGTTGGCACCTCACATTTGGCAGTTTCCAACATCCCTTCCTCCTGGGACTTGGTGAAAGGAGATAGGGGCTGAGGACTTCCAGTAAGCCATCCATGTGGCAAAAAAAGCTGTAGAAAATATTGCAGAGACAAGCAAAGCGAGCAATCCTGGTGAACTTTGAGCAGCTTCTTCAGTTAATATAGTCAAAGTAAAGCTAGAGTTGTGCCTTTCTTCCAGCAGCAGATGACAGTAAAATGCACAGCAAGGTGTGTCTGGAGCACAGCAGGGGAGAGTTTGCAGAGTCTGCAGGCAGGGGAGAGTTTGTTCTATGCAAGAGAAGTAGCAGCAAGGCTGTGTGTGGTGTCTTCCTGTCCCCATGCCCATCCCTCCTCTGCCAGCCCTAGATTCGAGGTCAGTGAAACACTTTTCTTTCTGTGAAGATGGAGGGACTTTGTTCATGGAATGTGGGGGGCTCCTCTGGGGCCTTCCAAGGTTGTCAGAAGCAGAGCCATGAGCAGCAGTGCTCTGTGTCACTCTTCTTCTCTGTTTTCCCTCTTCCTTTAGAGGGAAAGGAAATTTTCCACTGTGAACTTACTCCTTCTTCTGCTCCCTGCCACCCCTGGAGAATATAATTTATAGTTGTGGTTCCTGCACTGCTCTGTGAGTGTTAAGTGCTCTGTGAAGTTATCTCGCTGCTGTTAGGGAGTCTGTAGGGATCTGTCCATGTTTAGTTAT